CCCTTACCTGTGCTGCAGGGCCCACTTGCAAATTTAACTGCCTCGTGCCTGCTGACTTCAGTGAGGGTGACAGACCTCCATACCCCCCCTGTACTCTCTAACAGGAGCAAAGGATTCTTTGGGGGTAGCAATAAGGAGAAAAGAACATGACCTCCAAGAGCCTTTGGCCGATGCCTAGGAGCGGAGGCACTTCTTGGTGCAATACAAACCAAACTGCCTTCCCAAACACAGCAGTGTTTTTCTGTGGTGCACAATGCTCCGCGCCACACGCCTGGGGTCTCGCACCTGACGTTAGAGAGGTCTGATCGGACTGGGATGTAGTGGACCCAAGGCTTCAGCTGGGGGTAGAAGAATTCCAGCCACTCTTCTCCAACGTGAAAGACGAGCGAACCACACAAGAAAAGGTGTTTCAACCGGAAACTGGCAGCCACTCCCCGGAAATTAAACAGATACCTTTAAAAGGAGAAACAAAGAGAGGGACCTGATCACACCTGGCATTTTGTGAGGAAATGCACTAAGAAACCAGGCTCCGAGTAGCAGCCAGCCTCCCCTCACAGGCAGCAGCTGGGGGGATCTCCCTCACACCGAGCCAAGCACCTGTGGCTAAAGCAAAGGGAAGACATTTATTTGAAGCTCCTCGCAGGAAGGGTGAGCTGAAGTGAAGGATGCGCTCAGTGAGTTTCTGCTGCCTGTCAAAACTGAGGGAGAAGAATCAAGGCGTGCTGCTTTGCCTCTGACAAAGACAGCCGCCCACGACAAACCACAAGAGGCCTCACGGAGAACTGCCAACACGGCGTGGAAGGTCACAGCATGGACGCTGATCCTGTGACTCCACACTTCAGAGGCTCTGATACCACGAGGAGCTTTTCCCCCCGATTCTCTGTTGTCTTGCAGCGAGCTTTTCTGTTCCCTGTTCTGCTTTGCCACACCTATCTCAGTTGGTTTTTTGTTTTTCTTTTTTCCTCTGGGATCCTGCTTTAAACTGAATCTAATTGTTCCATGTTAACTTGGGAATGCAACCCTAGGAGGTTAAACAGGCTAGCACACAACAGATGGACTTTGCAGATAACAAAGAACCCACAATTTTTGTTTTCAGTATTTTCTGCCAAGTTAGTAAAGTGGGCTTGGCTGGGGGGGGGATTTCTCTTAGCAAACTGTGTCTCAGAGGGATGTTTGTTTGCTTACTTGCTTGCTTTTTTAAACCCACATTTCTCCAATTATACAGAAAGCTGTTTTTCCTGTGGGTAAAACCCCTCAGTACATATAAATAATCTTTGAAGTCAAACATTTTGGGCTGGGGGAAGGGAGCTCTTCCTTTAATTAAGCTATTTTGGGTGAGATGGGGATTGTATATTATACATACTTTGGGCGAGATGGGAATCGTAGCTAAACTTAGTTCAGCACTAAGTGACAAGGAGTAAAACTGAAATTATTTTGCATTCTTTGTATTACCTAGGAGCCCAAGGCAGGGATGAGGAGCTCATTGTATTAGGAACTCAGCAGATACATGCAGAAATGTAACAAAAGCAGTGCTCCGGAAGTGAGGAAACGCCTCTGTCCAATTCCAGACACGGCTCCCACCATCCATGACCTCGGCCAAGTCAGCGGGGGCTGCTCTCCGCCCGCCTGCCATAGCACCCCCAGTGCCG